GTGTACAGAACACTTCCTGCCTCTCACTGAGGCTGTGTGTACAGAGCATTTCCTGCCTCTGGGCCCGTGTGTACAGAACACTTCCTGCCTCTCACTGAGGCTGTGTGTACAGAGCAATTCCTGCCTCTAAGCCCGTGTGTACAGAGCACTTTCTGTCATTCTCAGCTCTTCTGCCTCACCCACAGTGTTGGTGTATTCAGATGGAATTTCAGGGGTCAGCAGTGAGGAAGTGTCCTGGCCTCAGTCGTTACCCAGCAGCTTCTGTGCCTTTGCCTGACTGCTAGTGCAGACAGCCACCCCCCCCCCCCCCCCCACTGCCTCTGTCCTTGCTCTATGCATCCTACAGCTCATATATCATTCACAGGTGATTCTTTCTTTTTTCAACCCATTACACAAGATGAGAGCAGTGCTTTCTTTTTATAGATGGGTTTGGGGGGGTGAGGTCTTTTTATGGAAGCGTGCAACTTTAATTACCGCACCCTCACTTTTCTGGGCCGACTGGCGTAACTCAGCGTGCCAGCAGCCGGTCACATCGTCTTTCGTGGGGGGGGGGCCCTTGGGGCCGGGCAGAGGTCTCCATCGCACAGAAAGGATAACCGAAGTTTTATAGGGCCGTGCATTCGGGGCTTGCTGCGGCGTGCTTGAGAATCCTATTGAGTCAGTCGTTGAATATTGTGTTGTATAGGCAAATACAAGTTTACAAATCAGGATATTTGCTGAAGCAGGGTAAATACCTTGAAGAATGGCAGCACAGGCAGGCACTTCCGGGGGCTGAAGGCAGCCGTGCGTAAGCGATGACGTCACTGCGGCACGTCGGTCCTCGTCCCCTTTTGCCCTGTCTCTGGCTGCGTCCACCTGCTTGTCTTTTGTCCGTGAAATTGAGATCCTGCCAGATAAAGGGTCACGAGTGTCAAAAAGAGGAGAGGTGAAGGCCCCATTCCCACCCTAATCTGCTCTTTTCTCACGAATTCTCACAGCATCCTTGCACTGTGTGAAATCTACTATTTTGTTAGGTTACTTGTCACTTATGCTTAAGGTTAGGGCTGGGTAAGAGTTAAGGTTGTCATTGTTGGAATTAGGGTTATGCCCATGGAAATGGATGGAGAGTCCCCATAAAGATATGAATATGTGGACTGTGTGTGTGTGTGTGTGTGTGTGTGTGTGTGTGTGTGAGCGTATGTGCACGTGTGTGTGTCTATATATCTCAGAAATTTTTGTCCTGAACAATGTACAAACAAAGCAAATAGCACATCACAACAGTACATAATAAACATCATAATTCAGTTCCCCAGTGGCTTGTGACTTCAGAACCAGTAATCAGCTAAGCTGCATTATAGTGGTGCTCCGTGGTATGAAAATGAACATTATGAATAATTTTATGTGACTCTCTAATGAGGGGAGGGTTACAGCTTCTTTTGATGATGGGGTTTCTAATTCACGTTGTGATGGAAGGTCAGTTTTCTTTCAGGAGATAGACCATCATACAGCCTGTCTTGGATGGCTGTACTTGAAGGGGTATAGTGATAGGGTTCTGTCTGGTTTCCATGGTAACTAAGCAGTCGATGTTGCCTAGACAACAAGGAAAGCTGCTGATGACAAAGGCGGATGTGCGTGACTGTGATATGCATCGTCCCTCGCTGTCTGTCACGGATACACAGACAAATGAGTAACCACCACGCAAGGTCTTTGTATCACACGCGGACCGGACACAACACCCCCCCCCCCCCCCCTAGCAACACACATACGTAATGACACATTCTAAATTTAGGTCTAAATGTACGATAGCTGACAGTACATTGAGTCATGGGACTGTAACATAACAGTTCAATGAAAGAATAGAATTTTGATTTTATTTTATTGACGTCCACCGTAACCTGCAGTCTACAATGTAAGCTAATAATGACAATGCGGAGAAGTTACAGTTGTGTCATTTCAGCCTTACAGTTGTGTCATTTCAGCCTTACAGTTGTGTCATTTCAGCCCTCCACTGTTCCTTAGCTTTTATCAAACTTGACACTCCATCTTTCAGAAATGTCCTCTAACAGCAGAACTAAAGCCACATCTTTTAATCAAGTGCCTATTTTATGAAAATTGGTTTTATGGTCATTGGTTGAGGGGGAAAAAAGTTTAGTTCTTATTTGATAATGGCAGTTTTAGCATTTAAGATGTAGATTTGAGTTCAACTGTCTTTTTACGTCCTCTTCCATTGCCGAAGACCAGCTCCAATACTAAAGAGCACAAGTGCAGTGGAAGGTAAAAATCCCTGCATATTGGTCTTGCCTTGTCCCAAATATCAAGGATGCACCGCTTAATGACGGATGTAAATGCCTCCATTTACAGTAATTTCAGTAGTGGACAGCGTAATGTTGTGTGGGTGTGTGAGTGTGTAACAGAGC